GCAGGTGGTGGCTTTACTTGCTACACCACAGTGCCAGCTGGGAAATGAGAGTTCTTATAGCTAAATCTCTACCCATGCTTTCATTCCTTTGGAATTATTTTTCTCTTTTAAACTTATATGTGTCTATGCTTTATTTCTCCCCTCGTGCCATCTAATTTCTACTCTTACGTCTTTATACTGTATGTGATACAGCTTACACACCTGACATCCAAAGCCCCACTAATTTAAAAAAAGACCCTTATTTGAAAGGTAGAATGATAGAGATCAAGAGATTTTCTATTTTCTGGTACTCCCCGGATACTTTTTTTCTTTCTTTTTTTAAAGATTTGTTTACTTGAAAGGCAGAGGCAGAGACAGAGAGAGAGGTCTTCCATCTACTGGTTCATTCCCCAAATGGCCAAATGGCTGAAGCTGGGCCTATCTGAAGCCAGGAGCCAGGAGCTTCTTCCGGTCTCCCACACAGGTACAGGGGCCTAAGGACTTGGGCCATCTCTCACTGCTTTCCCAGGCCATAGCAAGAGCTGGATCAGAAGTGGAGCAGCCGGGACTCAAAGTGGTGCCCATATGGGATGCTGGCACCACAGGTGGCAACTTTACCCACTACATCACAGCACCGCCATCCCCCACCCCAATACTTTCAATAACTGTGATAGCCTCAAGCCAGGAGCCAGGAACTCCAGTCAGGTCTCCCATATGGGTGGCAAGGAGCCATAGACTATCATCTACTGCCTCTCAGGTGCACTGGCAAGGGAGCTGGATTGGAGGCAGAGGAGCCAGGACCTGAGCCAAACACACTGAGATGCATCCCAACCACACAGTGGCTTAACTTGCTGTACCACTTGTGTGTCTTTCTAATTATAAAGGTAATACTTGTTTATTGTAGAACACTAGATTACAGGAGAATATAATAAAAACATTCCTGCTGGCGCTGCGGCTCACTAGGCTAATCCTCCGCCTGCGGCACCAACACCCAGGGTTTTAGTCCCGGTTGGGGCGCCGGATTCTGTCCCGGTTGCTCCTCTTCCAGGCCAGCTCTCTGCTGTGGCCCAGGAGTACAGTGGAGGATGGCCCAAGTGCTTGGGCCCTGCACCTGCAATGGGAGACTAGGAGAAGCACCTGGCTCCTGGCTTTGGATCGGTGCAGTGGGCCAGCTGTAGCGGCCATTTGGGGGGTGAACCAACGGAAGGAAGACCTTTCTCTCTGTCTCTCTCTCTAACTGTCCACTCTGCCTGTCCAAAAAAAAAAAAAAAAAAAAAAAAAAAATCCAATACCTAGACAACCACTGATATTTTGATTTAATTTTTTCTCTGTTTTTGGTCAGAATTGAAAAGGTATTTGCTAATTTGGTAGGGAAATACTGCAGCTCTTAATTTACACTTTTTAAATTTTTTTGCTTATTCAGGTCGCTGAATGATATTTCAAGTAGTATATCTAGTGGTTTATAGATTGTAGTCTGTTTCAGGCCCCATCTTCTCTATTTAAACAGTCTTCTTTCAGTGTTTCATAGTAATCCTACTAAACTGTAATTGTTTATAATATGTGTATATTTTAGCTCTTTAATCAGATTGAAAACTAGTTGCATAATCCTAGGTAAAGTGTTTAATTTTGCTGAGTCCACTTTCCTTATTTGCTAATTGGGGATAATATTTACTTTTCAGGGTTGCAGTGAGAATTAGAAATAAAGTATCCAAGGTGAACTCAGTAAAAGTAGCTACTTTTTTTTTTTTTTTGGGGTCACAGCTTTAGCAGACTATATATACAGTAGGTATTATGTTTTTATATTTCAACTGAATGAATAAACTCAGCATCCCATCCTATCTAGATTCTTAAAGAAATTACTTATTTGAAAGGCTAAATGACATAGGAGAGAGAGATCTTACATTCACTGGTTCATTCCTCAAATGGTCCCAACAGCCAGGTCTGAGCCAGACCAAAGCCAGGAGCCAGGACCTGTCTGGTCTCCCACACGGGTGGCAGGGGCTCTAGAACTTGGCCATCTTCTGCTGCCTTCCCAGGTGCATTAGCAGGAAGCTAAATTGAAAGTGGGGAACTGAAACTGGTGTTCCAATATTGGATGTCGGCATTGCAAGCCGAGGATTAACCCACTGAGGCACAACGCCTGCTCCCCATCCAGATTTACTGAGCATGAGTGACACATAAGGCATTGTTCACAATCCTCAAGACTCTCTGTATCTAAATCATGAGATGTTTTCTACCTAAGACACGTGCTGTTTGCAGCGCCAGCGATTCTCTCCTGCATCTTTACTTCTTCTCCAGCACCCTGCCAGGTGCCAAATAAACGTGTAGGCTGAGCAGAATAATTTAGTGGGGAAAGAGAAATGCACAGATTAGCTAAAAACTGGCAGCCTGCGGTGAAAGCAATGAGGTTCCAGATATTTACTACATGGGGAATCAGGAGACACTAATTTCGACTAAGGTATCTGGGAATGCCCGTGGAGTGGGTGGATTTGACCTGGATCTCAATCCAGGGGACTAAGGAAAGGAATTTAAAGATGGAAATAATAGTAGGTTAAGACTTGGAGAAGTACACAGGGTATGCTTTTTTTTTTTTTTTTAATTTTTGACAGGCAGAGTTAGACGGTGAGAGAGAGAGAGAGACACACACACACACAGAGGTCCTCCATCCGTTGGTTCACTCCCCTAATGGCTGCCACGGCCGGCGCTGCGCCGCTCCGAAGCCAGGAGCCGGGTACTTCCTCCCGGTCTTCCATGCGGGTGCAGGGCCCAAGCACTTGGGCCATCGTCCACTGCCTTCCCGGGCCACAGCAGAGAGCTGGCCTGGAAGAGGAGCAACCGGGACTAGAACCCGGGTGGATTAGTCAAGTGAGCCGCGGCGCCGGCCACAGGGTATGCTTTGCTACCAGAATTATCTGGTGGTGGAACAAGAGTAGGGTGGGCAACTCCCTGACAATGGGCCTGGGAAAGCAGTGGAAGATGGTCATGTGGGAGACCCCTAGAGGCCCCGGCCTGGCCTGGCCTGGCCCCAGCCGTTGTAGCCATCTGGGGAGCGAACCAGCGGACTTCTAACTCTGCCTTCCAAATAAACAAATAATAAAAAAAAAGGGCGGGCAAAAACCAGTTTGAGGGTTTTGCTGTGCTCATTTGTTATAAACGTAGTTTTCAAGCCTTTCTGAAAAGCACTTTCAGTTCTGGGGCATCCTCAGGTAGAGGGGATCAGAGGGCCAGCAGGGGAGAGAGGTGGGCAGGGAGTGTTTTAGGAGGATCCCCTTCAGCCAGACAGGCGCCTGAGTGGTCTGTACGGGCCAGGACGTGAGGAAGGCGAGTCTGCGAGGAGATGGGGCAGCCTTAACAGCTCAGCAAGCCGCCGTGGACAGGAACGGTCACCCACGCGAAGTGCCGGTGCCAAAGACCACGGCAGCCCGGATGCGGCCTGGGAGGGCTCTCGGCCGCCCCAGCGGCAGCTGGGAGTCCCCGCCTGGGTCCCGGGCACCCCTCTCCTTCCGCATCTTTCGCCTACTCCTGCCCAGCCCCGCGGCTCCCGCCGGTCCCGCGTCTCTCACCCCGCCCCACGTCTTTCGCCCCGCCCCACCCCACGTCTCTCGCCCTGCCCCGCCACAAGAGTCCCCTATTTCCGACCCCTTCTGTCGCCTGGTCTCAATTGTATTTTTTAATCTGGAATCTTACCTTAGTTACAGTCTCCGCACACACTTCTCAGGGTCGCTGTGTGTCTTTCAAGCTACTTTATGCTGTTGATGTGAGGCTGGAGTACCGAGACACTAGCGGGAGAGCTAGAATGAATCTCGGTCTGCTGGTTCACTCTCCAAAATGATCTGCTAACGATGGACATTGGGGCAAAACAGATAACGGGATCCCTCATCTGGTTTCCCT